CTTTTCATATTGTTGTCTCCTATTTCTTTTGTTTGAGATATTAAATAACAACATGACCTAATGCCATGCTAGAATTACCTTAGGGCCAGGTTAGTTCTTAAAGCATTTGTAACAAACCAAAGAACAAAACCAAAAGGAGAGGCAATAAAAACAAACTAAAAGGGTGTAAACGAAAGGGAAACAAAACTATGTACATGTTTGAAACGAAAAGGAAATTTATTTACATGTTATGCTGGAAACGAAGGATCCAAGGTTAAGAATGACTTACCTTGCTTGAGGCTGGGACGTGCGTTGGGCCTTTATGTGGTTGCCTTGAGCGCTTCTGGATTCGAAGGGATGGATCAAGGGTTAGGCCTTTGATACTGGATTCAAAAGAGAAGAACAAATGTGAGGTTCTTCATGCTGGATTCGAAGGGTAACAAGGTACAGGGATGTTTCAGACTCGAAGGGGACATATGTTTGGATTATGGGTTTGTGTTTGATGAACGTTTAAGTGTTTGAGAGCTTTATGGTGTTTGAGAACTTTTTGAATATTTGTTCCTCTGGCCAAAAAGTCCCTCTCAAACATGTTGTAAAGCCTTTTATTTATATGCAAAGTTGGCTGAAGCTTTTGGAGGAAAAACAAAAAGTTTGATCAATTTGAGTAGCATGCACTTTGTAGCTTTCGAGAGACAGTGCCTTGTATGCTATTTTGGTGCAAGAATGGGGCAGTGTTTCAGGACTGTTGTGCAACAGTTTTGGCCAGTGTACCAGGCCTGAACTTGATAGCAAGCATCTTTGAATATTTCACCCTTTCGTTTTGACCCTTCTTCGACCAAATTCTTCTCCCAACAATATCATTTGATTTTCCTCCAACAAGTGTCCTTCAAATGGGCTAGTTTTGTGCATCTTTCGAAGGAGCCAAAAGTGTGACCCTTAATTGGGTCACCAAAACATGCCTTAAATTGGGCTCTGTAGATCCTTCAAATGGGCCATCAAGCATGTCCTTTGAATGAGATGCCCAGAGTTGGGTTTGAAAGATGCTGATTCGAAGGGAATCAAAGTTACAAATGAAACCTTGTGAAGGTGATTCTGTCCAGTCGAAGGCTTGCCTGCAAAAGGTCCATGTGGCCAAAAGAAGAAGTGTGCGTAGGGGGGTCCCTGCTTTGTGACTTCATGCAAAAACATGCAAAAGATCTTTGTTCAAACGAAGGCTTGCATGAAGGGAACCACATGCCCAAACGAAAGGTGCATGCAGGAGGCCAAAATGTCCAAATTCGAAAGAGGCGTACAGGAGGAAAAAGAGTGCAAAACGAAGGATGCCAAAAGGGAGCCTTTTGCCTTGGAATCGAAGGAAGCTACAAGAGATTTTGTGCCTTGTACGTGTGCAAGAAGGAAGTTATGGCTCAAACGAAATCTTGTACACAACTAGTCATCAACTTGTGAGTCAAGGCAAGCATGGAGGGAATGCTTGTTCAGTCAACATAGACGTGTGTGCATCAAACATCTCATCAAAGCAGGCACATAGGCATCCATTGCATGGTGAACCCTATGAGGCTAAAGGTGCAATCGAATGTTGCATGCAGGAAGCTCCTGCCTTGTGAACCAAAACCAACGCGCCAGAGACCCATGCCCAGTCGAAGGATACAAGCCAAGCTTGCATTCGAAAGAGGTCAAAAGGCCAATCGAAGGAGCTGAATCGAAAAACTTGTCTTTTTTTTCTCCAATTTTGTCAAAAGATTATTTTTATCTGTTTTCTTCCTTTTTAACAGTTTCATTTGAATCTTGGTACTGGAAAATCCCAATGTACATGTGCAAGCTTGAACTTTGAGAATCCTTGTGAGAAGTGACTTGAAAAATGAGAGGGGGAATTTTTTGGTACAACACCATGCTTGAGATCAGAGTCACTAACCGGTCACTCTGCTATGAGTAGGTACGGATAACGGGCTTAATATGATTGCGCCTGAATGAAAAAGGACCTTACAAAATAAGGAAGCTTAGGCATAGTGGACTAACATGGATGTGTTTTTATAGAAATAAAGTTTATGCCCGCATTTTTATGCAGAAAGTGTTATCACAATATCCTTGGTTCGATCAAGTAGTACCAATCAACACGTCCTTACTTGAACTTAGAAACCCTTTTAGCTCAAAATCTTATAAATATTGTTCTTCTTTTCATCTACTTCTGAGAGTTTTTGCTTGAGGACAAGCAAAGGTTTAAGTGTGGGAGAATTTGATAACACCTGATCGCACTGCATATTTGACTCAAATAACACATGTTTTTCATAATTTTTAGTACTGTTTTCTTGCGTTATGCTTGTATTTGTCTTGTTTTCATACAACATGCCCATTTAGAGCTGTTCTTGAAGAAACCAAGCGAAAAGGCCAAGAAATCGAGATTTTCAGTGAAATCTTACACATGGCGTTCAGCTCAGTGGCCGCTATAGGGGCGCCTTATTGTGTCCCACTCCATCCAGGGGATAACTACCAAGTCCCCCACGATCTCTCTATCTACGCACTCAGCGCCCGCGGAAGGGCCTCGATGGTTGTGGTCTTTGTTAAGTTTCTTCTCGCCTAAAAGGAGTTAGGGGGCATTTCTGTCAAAGCATAGCCTGGAGAACTTCTATAAATAGTAGTTTTCATTTCACTTTCCATCATTCAACTTAGTCTTGCAACGCTAAGCCTATACTCACTTGTGTAAAAGCAATAATTCGTCACATCGGAGGATTATCGCACCATAGTCTTGATTAGGTTGGAGCATCTCTTTTATTTACAATCTTGCCACCATTTTACTTCAAGCATTTACTTTCCAGTTATACCAAGATTTAAAGACTCCGATTTGGAGCAGGTTTCTATTTAAGTTTTTTTTATTCAATCACTTTGTCTCGCACTTGCATTACTTATTTTATTACCTTGCCTTGCCTTTATTACTATGATTATTTTTGATCAACTTTAATATGCTTGCTTTTATTTCCATGTCTGGCTAAATATTTTAAGGTTGGAATGTAAGGATCATTGTCATGATAGAATTTCAACACAGTATCAGTAGAAACACTTTAGGGGTTATTTTAACTTTTAACACAAGTTTTACGTACTTAAATTTTTTGGATAAGATCGAAAGTCGTCCATTTTAAAGAGTAAACTTGGTTAGTTTTTAACCGTTCAAAAAGGGCGAAAGCGTTTTGACTGGTTAATTAGGGATCTTTGACACTTTTAGAAAAATGATTTTGAAACTATTTTCGGACGCATTTATAGGTTTACAATCTGATTCTCGAGTGAAAGTCAAGAATCTCTTTATGTCAATCATTCCGAGTTAAAACCACTTTTTTTACTAAGTTAAGAAACTAATTTCTTAAAAATAGGTTTGTTGCTTTAACGCTTGAAGCGCCCTTTTATAAGTGATAATAGAAGGATTTAATTAGAGAGTAAACTAGGTTCTTAGTTAGCAAAAGCGACAAGTTCCAGTAAAATTGTTCCTTTACAAGACTGGAAAATATTGCCCCATGAGTAGTTCTATTAAATACATACTTAAATGTTATTTGACCAATGTGATTTACATTCTAGCATGTCTTTTGTTTGAATTTACTTTATCTATTTATTTCCTTTACATTATACTCCCTCAACTGAATCGACCCGCCTTAGATAAGCAACTTAATAATAGAGTTGATAGATTGACGATTGGTCTCTGTGGTTCGACAATCCTTTATATTACTTCGATAGGTTGTGCACTTGTAGTTAGATTTTAGACTCTATAAACAGACCGAACATAGGTCTCTAGAATTTGTGTTGAGCTTGTTGTTTCCTAAGGGCACAATCATGTCCTATTTTCACGAATGATTGATAGTACTTAGGCTTCCATTCATACTCTAGTTTTTGCTCTTATTCCTTCCCTATTTATTCAGTTATCCATATTCTTTCTTTGACCTTTTGAGTTATGTCAACTTCGACTAAGACTCTGGCATATGAAATATGCAATTTCTTAGTTGTACATTTGTCTATAGTTAGCGATTTCCCAATGAAACTTACTATCTTTTATATACTTTTCTTCCCCCATAAGTACATAGGAAGATTACGTATAGTAATCCACAGTGGTAGAACACATAAGAGATCCTCTTTAATTTCAAAGTCTGGTGACCGGTGTTTCATGAAATATGGTCCTTGTGCCATTATTTTTTCTTGATCTTCATTATTCTTGCATCTCGCTATGAAGAATCTAGCATCATTGTAGTATTGATAAGTGCCCAAATGTAGTTATTTTGTATATATGTTTTGTGGCACTTATCAATTCTTTTGTTGATATTTGTTGAATAATTCCCCGCTTTGTTTGTCAATACGTTTAGTTTGTATATATTTGTAATTTTGATTCATTTGTGTACCTTTTGATAGATTTTACTTATTTTGTAGGTATTTGTTGTACATTTAGAGCATTTAGAAATAAGGTGTTGAAGACACAACTCAAGATGTGCGTTTTCAGAATAAAAGTCCATTTTTGAGAAGTTATGTCCAGGAAGGCGCCCTAAGCGGATTCTGTAACACGCAAAGAGTGTTTGTACAGATTTGGTAGAAGCAGAGCTTTTGAGCCCGTTTAGCATGCTTAGGCCTCTTAGCACGGTTGTAGGCGGTTTGATGTATAAAATAAGGAAGTCGTGCTTAACGCGCTAGGTCCGCTTAGTGCGGTCTGCTAAATTTTGTTTTATAAATTCATTTCATTCATTTGTTAGGTTATGTTTTTGGGGATAGTTTTAGCTCCCAAATTCATCACCCTCATTTTTTGGTAGATTAGCTTAAAAAACAACTATGGAGCTTGAATACGAATGATCTGGAATAGATTGTTCATCGATCGGCGTGACAAACCAAGAGATTTGTGGTTCATTTCTCTTCTTCTTTGTGTATTCTTTATTTGTTGAGTTTGAATATGTATTTACTTTGAACTCATGTATATTTGTGATTGTGATTGTGAAGTTTAATCATTGAATGACTTGCTCAATTAAGCTGAATACACACTCCTCTAAATGTAAGATTTAACAGAGTTTACATAAAGCTACTTTGTTGTCATCCCATCTTGCATCATTTGCAACCAGTCCATCGTTATAGTTTTTGGAGATTATGCCAATTGTGGCATGGACTAGCTTTTGTGAGATTACTTCATCTGTTCCAAGTTTTTCATCATCTCTAAAAGTAATTATACTCTTGCACACCAAAGCTGCATATAGGTGACCAGTGAAACCTAAGCGCATGTCTTCTCCCCTAAAACTCAAGAAAACATGATACTTCCATTTTGAGTGTTGTGAATAATCATACATTTAAAGACCTTAAGATTTAACTATAGAAATGGAAGAATATGTTGATTTAGATTTAAGCATATGAAAATAAAATCAACAACATTAAGGACAAGTTATTCACAAAAGTTATACTCGGTGAAGCCTACACTAAGAACCCACCAATTTGCACTATGTTATTTCCTCTTCTAGCTACCAAAAATAAAAAATGAGGGAATGAATTTTAGTCCAGGACAATAATTCCATGGTATTATCTTTCTCCAACATCAACTGCAATTGGCAAAGATGTCGTCAAAATATTAAATAGAGTGCCAAATTATTCGAATTTGATTGATTTCGTACATTTAAATCCCTTTGAGCCTCTTTCTCTATCCAAATAATGGCATGTACTGATGTAGCATTGTAAGAAAGAACTATATGCTCAAACCTTCCATCTACTGGCCATAACTCCGACTGATGTGTCATAGAGCTTCCTTTTGCCTTCAACATTAAAAACTGAGAAAGGCCCTGAAACTCAGGAAGCAACTGAGTCGTAAGCACCTACTATTGATCCAATAATTGATCAAGGACATTCAAAAAGAATGAAATTTTGATATAAAAGACAAACAACAACAAATATAAATTTTATGTTAAAAAAGTTAGTTAGTGTTTATTACTTTTGCGAAGGTGTAGCCGAAAGTTGGTTGGTTAAATTCGTGCTATTGTTTTATAATATGTTATTTTATTGTTATCTTCACCATGAATGTACATATTGTCAGTTAGGCTCACTCCGGCTGGTATCAAATTTTAGCTTTTCATTCTAATCAATATATAGACTGATAGTGTAAACAATATCAATTTTCAGACAGCACAACTGAAATAATTTTGTTAGATGGATGCAATACCTATCCTTTTTTAGCAAAACATGTCGAAGAGAACCATCCATTATGAACTCCGCGATAGTCTCCATTATTCCTCAGTGTCCTTGTTGGAATCCTAAATTCTCGAGCACTACAAAATGAGCAGATAATGGAATCCCAAATTTGAAATAGATATGTTACCTTATGATGAGTTTCAAAAAATTTGATTACTTCTTCCAAGTGATTTCGATTGAACCCCTGCAACACACTTCACCCTTAAAAAAAATTCACTCAATACTGAATATGGTTTGAATATGAGAGACAAGACTGACTGTCTATAAATATACCTAAATGTATTAAAAAACTCCAGAGATAAAATCACCACCAGGAAATCCCATAGCTATTTTATTTTCAGTGATGCATGTCATATCCAAATAACTCACCCTCCGGTGGCAAAGAGTCGAAATTTTAAAAGTAAAAGAAAACTAAAATCAATATGGAAGATAAGTTAATAATTCACAAAACTTCATTGGAAAACGTCGTAAACAGCTCGCCGCATATGGTACACTAGTAACTGCTTCCCGCAGAAGTCGTAACACTGCTAACCTGTGGCATATGTCATAATTCCGCTCACCGAAAAGAAAGCAATTTCCAATATTTTCAGAAATTTATCTTTAGATACAAACATTTCAGAAAACAACATTAGCGAATATAAAGCAATTGTGTAAAAATTCCACATAACCTTGCTATCATTAATTTCCCTTGCAAAAAGAATCACATGAGTTTACGATCCAGCTTCTTTTGATTTTCCATCAAACTAGAAAAACAACAACTCCCTCCATTAATCCATGTCACTTACTGTACTAAGAAAAATGCAAAGGGTTATACGTGATATCACTCTGCACAGTTATTGTAATGGAAGAAATGCTCATGTCCACAAGTTTTATGCAACAATATATCAAAAGTTTGAGTTTTAACACAAAGACAAGGCAGCTTCAAATGAAAAGTACAATGTGCATGAAATTCAAGATGGACTAAGAAACCAAAATATCAATTCATACCTGCAAATTTCACAGCCATTATAGGGGTACTTCTGCTAAGATATTTGAAAGCCCAAACATCTTTGAAAGCCAAAAATGAGAAACCTTTTCATGTATCAGGACACATTTTAGTATGAATTTTTTGTATGAGTATAAGGAAAGTATTTTGAAACGGAACGATCAAATTATGAAAATGATGAATCATAGAACAATCACTAACCAAGTCATTGAGCAAAAATAACATGTGACCTTTCTGTTAAACCATATACATTCTGCAAGTTCACACCAATAGCCTGCATAAGAGTAAGAAAATGTGAGAACAACACCAAAAATAAATTTACTGTTTCGGAGTTACAAAGTCCAGAAATATCAAACCTCAAAAACTTTTTTGACATGAGAAGGTAAGCAACCACCACCACCACTTATTGCATCGTGTACAGAAGAATCGAAAACAATAATAAATGTTACTATATAGAAGTGGCATTCATACAGTTTATGGAAAATAGGGTTACCTATACAAAGTTTCAAAAACTAAAGGAACAGAAATCATCAAATGTGGCTGATAAAGTCCCAAATCATCCTAGAGCAAAAATAAAACACATCACATTAAGGTAAAAATAAAAAAACTGTCAAGAAATACATAAGGGTCAATGGAGAAGCGTTGGATCCGCAAACCCCGGGCCATGGAAGCATTGGATCTAGAAAAAAAGTCTTGTTAATGAGAATGGACAATGGAGAAGGTGATTAATCATCAAGAAAAACAATACTATAAGAAACCATCTTCAAGAAAAACACAAACTTTACATCCTTTTCGGCCATTCTGATTTTGCCATTACATCATCATGACTTCCACACTTTTCACCGAAAAATGGTGTATCCATGAAAGCGTTAGATATGAAAATAATAGTCCTATTAATGAGAAGAAATGGAGAACAGAAAGAAGAACAAAGTGCAAGAGGAAAAGAAAGAAGAAGATCGGTAAAGAAAGAAGAAGAAGAAGAAGAAGAAGAAGAAGAAGAAGAGGAAGAAAGGGAAGAGAGAAGAAGGAATAGGAAGAGAGGGAAGACGTTGGAAAGAGAGAAATGCCGTGAAGGATGGGCAGCGAAATGTGGAAAGGTGATGCGATGAATTGGTATTCATGAAATCAGAATAAAATGGGGTTACAATAGTTAATTTGTAAACAAACAAGTACATATGACATCATCAAACCATTCCAACTTAATGATCAAAAGCAAATAAATACAATCATGTAATTAGAACAGAAATATATGACATCATTAATTAAAAAAAGTATTTATTGGACACAAAATATTCTTAGTTTGGTGAGGTGGAAGATGTAGAGGCTAGGGCACAAGAATAATTTCCCCAACCTCTAATGTTCTTACATGGTAGATAGTATCAAAGAAGCTTACATATCACTAGATTGACAATCAGAGAGTGCCAATGTCACTACAGTTACATTAACATCGCCCTTTTTTGAGCGGTAATCCACATTAATGTTCTAGAACCACGAAACCTATGATTGACCATCCCCAGAGGAATATATGATAAAACAAAACATTAAAGCATGACCGTTAAATCATATAGCAAGTAATCTTCTAACATATGTCCCTATTTTACAAATATCTAATACAAAATATTCTAGATCACTGAAACCATAGAACCCACTATAAAACGTAAATTAAGATGATATATTAAAATACACAATTTTCTAACCTAAAACACCCATCTCATTCAGCCATCACTTGACTTAGACATCAAAGTGTTTATAGATACCCCATCGCTAGAACAAATCATTACAACACACTCAAAATATTAGAGTTTACCATCATATATTAATTCACATTTACTTGAGAAAATCATCGGTCTTTGCAAGTAATCTAGATAACAAGCGATGTAATTAGGAAAGGGGCGTACGTTTCAAAACAAGCGACTAGGAAGCTTGCTGGGGCGACATATTGCACCGCCCGTCCTTAGGAAACCTTTGTACCACCTCATGTTGAGGTTCTGCAAATATATTACTACATAACTGTATAAACGTTTAATGTTAGGTTGACTCTTCGATTAATAAGATTCAATTTAGCCACCTTGTTTAAATTGAATCCAGTTAATTGACGCAATATTGTTTTGCATCCTTATCTTCCATATCTATTGTATTTTCTAATACTCCTAGTAAATTGTGAAATCGTATAATTGCACCTCTATTATAAACTTCCACTGCCATGCTTTTGTAGGGGCAATTCCGAGGAGAGAGCATTTTACTTGGGACACACCTTTGTGAGAGACACACCACTTGTCCATCTAAAACCTTAAGGTAATAGATGAGTGGGTTCTCTCATATATAAGTGCTCAATCTTCCCTTTTATAATCGATGTGGGACTTTTTCCTCACACTTGATTCTCAACACTCCCCCTCAAGTGTGAGTCGCAATGCTCCCCCTCATGTGGAATGACTCTCTTCCACATACACTTGTACCATCGCTCGATACAAGTAAGTCGATCCCTATCTCGAAACCAAAGGCTCATGATACCACTGTAGGGGCAATTCCGAGGAGAGAGCATTTTACTTGGGACACACCTTTGTGAGAGACACACCATTTGTCCATCTAAAACCTTAAGGTAATAGATGAGTGGGTTCTCTCATATATAAGTGCTCAATCTTCCCTTTTATAATCAATGTGGGACTTCTTCCTCACACTTGATTCTCAACAGCTTTTTGTAAAGCTTTGATTTTTAAAAAAACATTTTGAAATTGGTTTTAAAAAGGAAATGTCCACTCATATGTGCAAAGAAGATAACCTCCTTTGACAGACTGATTCACATGTGCAATAAAACCACACCCTAACTTTGTTGAACCTGGCTTGGGTGACTACTGTTTCGATCTGGTCACAAGGTGCAAGTGGTTGCGATCTAACCCAATACATAGTCTTCTAAAGATATAGTGTAAAAGGAACTTACATACCTCCTGATATGACAATCACATAGTGCCAATGCCGCTAAGGTTACATCAACATCACCCTTTTTAGGGACGTAATCCATATTGATGCTCTAGAATCACAAAACCTATGACTGACATGCCCTAGAGTAACATATGATGAAAAACCATTAGTGCGGGACCATCAAATCATATAACAAGTATGTAAGTTTAAGAGTGATCCTAAGAGAGGGGGTGAATTAGATCTAATAATTTTTTTTCTTCTTGTTTTTAGATATGTGTTTCTTTTTTTTTTCTGGTTATGATTCGTGACGAAAGCGGTAAATGTAGAAAAGTAAAGAACACCAGAAAGTTATCCTAGTTCCCCTTACAATCCGAGAGTCCATCTAGTCCTCTTACCACATGTAAGAGATTTTATTATTGTTAGATATTATGGCCAAGACTCTCCTAGTCTTCCTATCTAACAATATCACCAAGAACAATCATTTTGTGATCAACCAAGTTGAAATGAGAACAATCCTCTCCAATTCAGCTCTCTTGCTTCCAATAATCCTGAACAATAAGATATACAAACCAAACAAGTAGAAAAAGAAAACAGTTATTTATTATCCACTCTCTTGTTTCCAACAATCCTGGATAACAAGGTATACAAAACAATTTTGGAAAATATATATAAGAAAATGAAGTTGATGAATAATGATATAGAGTAATTATCACTTTTATATTCTTAAGTGATATATCAATGTAAATGATATTCCCTTCTAATAACAATAATTTACAAACACTAAAGTGTTAGATTTCTCAAGAATTTTCCGGTTTAAAGGATATGAAAGTATGCAGAAAATTTCTTGAGTAAAAGTTGAATATTTGAAATGTGAATTTTTGAAAGTCTAAGTGTTTGATTGGAGGAGGTAATTTGTAATTTAAAAATTATGGTTCATATAAGTTGCAAGATATCATTTTGAATCATGGCGATGTTTAGAAAAAGTACCATGAACAAATGCAAGTTCAAATGAAAAAGTTTCTTGAAGAGTAACTATGAAAAGGTGTTGAAAAAGTTATTGTTTTTAAAAACCGTTCAGTGAAAATCGATTGTTGTTTGGTGCATATCGATTTGCATAGTGCAGCGTTACAATTTTTTTGAAAAGCTTCAGTAAGCAATCGATTTACATCATGTGTAAATTGATTTTCATAGTGTAAAATTATAAGAAAAAAATAGGCAAAGAGCAAGAACGAAGGCCCAATCCAAGCAACTCTTCAAGGAGCGCACGCTCGAAGATTCCTGCCAGCGCGTCGACCAGAAGCTGCAGCCTTGCCTGCCGCTGCCCGCGAACATGACGTCCTCGACCACATGAAGTCCAGCTCGAGCACCCTCCTCGTAGGGCAGACTATGATCGTTACCCCATCACCTGAACTCCGGAAAGACCGCGTCCTCTTCCCTCCGTACTTCTCGCAGAGCATCACCAGGAAGGGGACCACGTGCGGGTCCCCACTACACACGTAGAACCTGGAAGTTCCTTTATTGGGCCAGTCCTGGTCGGCCCAATGAAGGGACCTTGGCCCCGCGCTGGGGACTATAAATACCCTATATTCCTAGAGGGTCAGGTATTCATTCTCTTATCCATACACACACTTTTTGCCTGCTCGTACTATCACTCACTTTAGCATCGGAGTGCCTTGCAGGTACCCCCCCCCCCCATCTCGTTCAATTTCCGCTCGGAGCCAGTCGTGACGGTCCAAGTCTGATCAGGTAAGATCAGTGGCGCCGTTTGTGGGAAACTAGCTTCCCCGTCTTGCAAAACCTCGAAGACCAAAAGCTCAAATCACCTCTTACCGTCATGGCTGACCAAGTTCATGATGACCAAAACATCTGCGTCGTTGACACCAACAACAATCTCGCAGATAAAAATGGACACCCCGATAACACCAATAACCCCGGTCATAACATACTCCCTGGGGGCGCCAACCCCTGGCCCTCAGTCCACCGCGATGGAGTTACTGCATCATCCTCTTCAGTCCCTCTGCCGCTCGAAGAAGACAATGCAGCTACCACAAGCCATCGAGCTGCCCAATTTCAGGAAGTCCCTGTCCCCGCCGGGGCAGATGCCATAAGCCGCGCGTTGTTCGCGACGATCAATCAGACGAATTACCTCATATTCGCCCAAGGGGAAAGATTGAGGGCACTAGAAGACGATCGAAGACCTGCGAGGAGACACATGAGGCCCCAAACTGCACCTCTTCGAGTAACAGAGGTACATCTCCCGTCTCCCCTGCAGAGACACTACAGAGAGACATCCCGTAGCCTGTCGCCCCGACCCTCGGGGAGACGGCCCCCTTTGGAGAGGCAACCCATCATTGAAGTCGGGGGACACAGCCATGCCCCTACACGACAAGAAAGAAGATACTCTGGAGACGGGTATGGAAGAATCAACCAACGAGCACCACGCTCGAGAGATGCCCATCACGACCAGGACCGTCGGGCTCAACAATATTACAGGTCCCCATCACTCTCCCCAGAGCGAAGTGATGAGGACAACCCCCGCGGTCCCCTGTCACAAGCAATCATGGAGGCGCCCATACCCCCGGGCATGGAGAAGCCTCCACGTCTGAAGGAATACAATGGAGTCGCGGACCCGGTCGATCACATAGATGGGTTCGAGGCTATGTTGCACTACCACAATGTCGGGGGACCCATCAAATGCCAGTTGTTCCCCACGACCCTCAGAAAGGCAGCAATGGACTGGTATAAAGGCCTCGCTTCGGGATTAATCACCTTGTGGCGAAACCTGAAGAACCAATTCATAAGTTCGTTCACTGCGTCTCGGCGACACCCAAAGACCGAGGCGGCTCTCGAGGCCATCATCTAGAGACAGGATGAAACCCTGAGAGAGTTTATCAATCGCTTCAACCGTGAAGCCATACAGATTCCCTGCGCGGATCACATGAAAAGATATTTGCTAGAGAGGGGGCTCCTCCCCGGCACAGAATTCAGAAAGGCAGTGGGCATCGAGCCACCTAGAACATTTGATGCCCTCCTCGAGAAGGCGCGGGCGTACATGGATTACGAGGAGAGGGAGGCGGCCAACAGAGCCCGAGACCCCAGGACTCGCGGATCCAGCAACAACCCGCGCCAGGAAGCTTCTCCTCCTCGACGAACCGGGGAGAAAAGAAAAGAGGACAGACCTCGAGAAGTCCGAGAGCAAAGAGGACCCTCGGGGCCACTATAAGAAAATTGGCAGATTACGACATGTATTTTTGTAGATTACGACGGTTAAAACCGTCGCAATTTGCTTTCCACAACGGTTGCTTTACCGTCGCAGAAGTGTGTGTCCCCAACCTATTTTGCGACGGTTACAAAAACTGTCGTTCAAGTTTACGACGGGTTTGGAGCTGACATAATCAAGTATTGGTGACTGTTTGATACCGTTGTGACTATATTTTGAGTTTCTTTTAATTATTGATGGCGACGGTTCGATACTGTCGTGAATATCTTTTGAAATTGATTAAATTGTTTATGGCGACGGTTCGATACCGTCATGACTTTTGTTGATTATTTTTAATTGTTGATTACGACAATTCGGTACTGTCGCCATGACTTTTGTTTATGTCTTGATTTTTTTTTCTATTATATATATTTTTTATTTAAATTATTATCTATGTAAAAAAATTTAAATATAGTTTTTTTTTGTGTTATTTTTTTCTTTAAATTATTTCTTCTTTAATATATTTATTTATAGTATTATTTTTTGTTTTATTTTCTATCACTTTGTAATATAGTAAAAATAATTTCAATAAAAAATATTTAACATCAAATAAGCATTATAATATCCAAAAAAATGTGTGTTCCATAATCATGTAAAATGCGAGTTCCATAATCATGTCAAGTAGTACAAAAAACCCAAAATATATCAATTCCTAATCTTATAATAATAAGTATCATTATGCCAAAAATACATGAGAAAGTTCACAATCTAATTATCTCGATCATAGCAAAGTCTAATTTGTCCCTCCTGAAGTTCCATTATCTCCAATACGGTAGCTAGACTCAGATGAACGTCTACCATCAGCGGGTGATTCCAATCCCTAAAAAAAGGTATTAAAATAATAATCTTTAAAATAATACTCATAAAATTTAACTTTAAATGCGTCAAAATAATATACATGTCTTCCACTAAAATTCTGCATATGCATTAAGAGTTCAATTTCCTTTGTCCTCGCCTTGTCCCTTTGCGTTAAGAATATGATTGCTTGTGTTAATTCATCAATTTTTGAATTCTTTTCTTTAAGTGCATTAATTTCTTCTTGCATTTCCTTTATTTGTTCACTTTCTTCAGAAGAAGATATCGATCTCGTAGATCTATTAATTTGAGATGGTGTAACTCCAAGTCCCATACTACGAACATATCCATGCTTTTCTTTTCCAAATACTTTCTGAAATGCCTCATTTTCAGACACAGAATCCTTAATTGCAGCTTGTAATTTTTTCTGCACATGAAAAAGAAAAAAATTGAGCTATTGTTTATATAACAAGAATAATATATTGGGGGAGAACCTCTTGATCAAATCATGGACTTCCATATATACGTAAAAAGAAGTTGGCACAAACTAGGAGGTGGCACAAACTATTGCAATTGGACTTGAATAATACTGTTGGTATATAATTTTGACATTTTTGCCATGAATAATAAGAAAGCAGTACATTGAGCAATGGTAAGGATTGTTATTCATTATTAACTGGGGCCATATTCACTGGCAAACAGCCTAGTTTCAACACTTACAGTATTTGAACATAATTAACTGACAAATTTTCCCATGAATGAATGACAGCGTGATAGCATTATTTTCCAGTGAATGGATAGCATGAAGCAATAAATAAAAATTTATTGGTTCTAAAGATATGTGATACCTTCTTCTGAATCTTCCTATCAGTTGTATCAGCATCTACATGATATCCTGCTTGGTGAATCTGATCTCGAACCTAGAAAATTACAGCACAAAAATGTTATAAAATCATCAGCACCTGGCTTTTCAAGTCAAAATATTAGTATCCAACAAAAATAGAATTAGAACAATAACAAAGTTAGGTAATAGAACTATTCAAGGA